TAGACTAGCCATGCCCAGTTCCTGCAACCGTTCTTCATGTTTTAGTCTCCAGTCCCTAATCATCCTGGTTGCTCTTCTCTGTACTTTTTCTAGAGTCTCAACATCTTTTTTATAATGTGGTGAACAAAACTGGATGCAGTACTCTAGGTGTGGTCTTACTAAGGCTTTATAGAGTGGTATTAGTACCTCACTTGATATCAATTGTATCACTCTGTTAATGCAATTTAGGATTGCATTAGCTTTTTTGGCTGCTGCTGCATACTACTGGCTCATATTTAGCTGGTTGTCCACTAAGACTCCAAGATCCCTCTCACAGTTACTGCTATTGTGTCTGGTTTCACCCAGTCTATATGTGTACTTTTGGTTTTTCTGGCCTAAATGTAGGACTTTACTTTTCTCTATATTGAATTTCATTTTGTTAGATACGGCCCAGTGTTCTTAGTCTGTCAAGATCCATCTGGATCTTGAGCCTATCTTCTTGGGTGATAGCTATTCCTGCCAGCTTAGTATCATCTGCAAATTTGGTAAGTTCCCCTTCTATTCCCTTATCTAAGTCATTAATGAGGATATTGAAGAGTACTGGGCCTAAGACAGAACCTTGTGGCACCCCACTGCTTACTTCCCTCCATGTAGACTTAGATCCATTTAGGGCTACTTGTTGAGTAGTCCTAAATGGATCTAAGTCTACATATCAAAACAGCCGAACACCAAATCCCAAAAGTTCCATCTTTGGGGTAAAAGTCTAAAGAGTCATTTCCAAAGTAGAACAATCTTGCAGACTTGATAGTAACCTGCCATACAGTTTGAGTCAAAGGGGAACTTCATTGTATCACAAATCTGAGAGGTTAGGGTCTCAAAAGTCTAAATAGGCTTTTTTCTCCTCCTTCTGAATCTCAAACAAATGATCCACTCTCTGCCATGCTTTCTGAAGCAATTAAAGCAGCTATGTTCTATGAAAGACTCACAGCTGCTTCAAAAGGTTTCCCCAGTCATATGGAAATTGCCATTGGAAATGTTGCCTGTGAATGTATACATACCTGTAGGAAACAGGGGACCCTTTGAAGGAGCTACACAATCATTCTAAAATAGGGGTCACCAACCTTTTGGACCTCAGGGACCACCAAAGGGAACACTAACTGGTTCTGTGGGCGTGGCCTAATTTGTGGGCGTGGCTTGGTGGTCATGTGACTGGCTGGGCATGGCTTGTATGTAAATATTATAAATATTTAATAAATATTGAAGTTTTTATAAAAAAAGAGCAACTTTTACCCAAAATCAGGCAAAGCAGGCAGATTGAGTTGCTCACAGATTCATTCAGAGATCTATCTGCCATTGGCTAGCTCAGTCTGTCACATAAAATTTGCTAGCAAGCAAACTCACAAAATTAACTCACAACACACCATTTATGTAAATATTGATTTTTTTATAAAAAAAGAGCAACTTTTACCCAAAATCAGGCAAAGCAGGCAGGCAGATTGAGTTGCTCACAGAATCATTCAGTGATCTATCTATCTGCCATCAGCTAGCTCAGTCTCTCAAACTTGCCTGCCGTGAGTTTGCACTGAATAATAGAACCTTCAGTCCGCGGGGAGGTTTGGCTGTGCTTAAAAGCAGAGCCGAAGATCTAAAGACTAGCTAGAAAGCAAGAAATCCAACCATTTCCTGCTTTCTAGCTAATCTAAATCTCCCAGCAGAGCAGAATAGATGATGGTCGGAAAAAGGAAAAATAGCAATTTAGCAGGCAAGTTTGCTGGGTAAGGAGTGAGTGGGCGGGGAGGGTTCCTGCGGGCCATGTGAATGGCGCAGCCTTGTGTTTCTGCGCAGCCTGGATTGATTGCTTTGGGGGGGGGGTGCTCTGGGGGTGAGATTTCTCTGCAGCCCACCAAAATTTTCTCATGGCCCACCAGTGGGTTGCGGCCCACCAGTTGGCGACCACTGTTCTAAAAGATGTGGCAGATTTAATGCTTCCATTGAGAGTGTTTTGCTCATGCCAATTTACGCTGCAAAACAATTTTGTTTTGAATGGGCAAAGCACCACATTGATAGCTTTGGTTCAACCTTGCCAGCCAAGCTTACATTTCTTAAAGTACTTGGATTTCTTGAGAATATACAACAATTGTTGTCTTCAAATATGATTATAAATTCAAACCAGAATCACCCTCCCCAGTCATTATTTTAAATTACCTGTCAGTTTATGGGTGCAAATTCACTCATATTAGGGTTTTATTAGCATTAAGATGTGTTTAATGTTAAAAATATATTAAAAAAATAAAACAAACACATTGTTAAGCGCAAAGTATATATTTATATCACGTAAAACAAAAAAGCAGTGAAAAATGTATTACATAAAAGAAAATAATGTAACAGAATTTACTAAGGTATCTAACATAGGCATGCTCTTACACCTAAAGAAAATATAACATTTATAACTATATATATTTGAGAGTTGTGTTTCAGAGTTCTCTAATAGAAAACATTTTAAAATATAGAAGTTTTTCACCCAAAGGAAAAAGTGTCATTTTAGACAAACGTACAAACCCACCTCTTGTATAAAAAGTCGCTTCCCCCCATGATTACAAGTGAAGTCATTTTAATATGGATTTTCCATATGTGCAAAAGATAGGGTACCATTGATTGCTCTTAACCTTGCATTGCTTGAGCTCCAACACTGATTGGTACATCTGTGAATCCACATGATTTATCGACACAGTATATTTTTTTCAAAGCATGTTGCCAAACATACACAAGAATTCATAAGCTTTCACTGCATTTTGAACATACTGTATTTAAAAAAATATCTAGAAGCCATAAAGTTAGGACAGTAAATCTGTTTAAATATATACACCAGTCAATACAAAATACTACCTATAATACTTTTTGTCTTTTCATTTCAATACCCTAAAAGGAGTAAGCCACTTTGTCAAATGATAGATTTGAATAAAAAAAAATGTGTAATAGCATCTAGTTTGTGTTTCTTCTGCCAACAGTACAAGTGATTGCTAAGGCACATTTCCCACCTAATAAACAGGCTTAAAGAGTAACTAGAGTTAAGTACTGTACAGAAGGCTTAGTGTTAAGAGAAAATCAGGGAGAGTTTTAGGTAAGTACTTTTGTAGCAGTGCTACTCAAATATAGTTTGAGCTGTGTAGTGTAATGTACAAGAAGGAAAAATTAGGGTGGGGGGAAGTTCCAACTTTAAAGCTATAACCAAGTAAAGCAACCAAAAACTGTTACTGGGTACAGGAATTCAGAAGTTCCATTTGATATTCAAACAGGGACACATGGTTCTCCCATGTATGGAAAAAAAACCAAATGCAAGAATTCTGAATTTCTCACCCTTTCTCCCATTTGGAACACTATTTGAATCAATTTATAGTTAGTTTCAGTTGGCTTTCAAGTATTTCTTGGAAAGGATGGGGGAAACAAAAATAAAAATAGAGGAATCTTCTTAATGGGACTGAGAATCTGCTCATATGACCCCCATTCCCATGTTCACTGATATGGCATTGCAGAAGGCTGATATGGCATTGCAGAAGAAATATAATTCATTAAGCTGTGGCTTATTGGCATACACAAAACTCAAGGCTGGCAACTGTTAACTTCATCCTCGTGTCAACTAAAAAGAGACACATTGCTGAAACCCAGCATTACACTTCTTGAATTCTCTTCCATGTACCCATGAAATCGTTTCCCAAAAGAGCCAATCTTTTTAGAACAGATTTTGAGGGTGAATAGGTGGTGCCCAAGGGAGAGGGCATTTCCTGCGTCACAACACCTCAAATGGAAATAACTTTTAGCAACTTGAGCAAAGAATTGGACTCCGTATAATTTTTTTTTAGGATGTCCTAGTCTGAAAATTATACACTGAATTTCAGGTTTAAACTTTTCTTGATGGTTAATATCAACTCTTGCAACAAAGGTAACAAATTAATGGGAATGTTGACAGACCTATAAATCACTTATTGATACCAATGCATTTAAAGGAGAAAAAAAAAGACATCATAGCTTATATTTCCACATGGGCACATTTTGTTCATTTAAAATACTCTTTGGAATATCACAATTCCTACAGACATCTTTGAGAATAATCCATTCCTGCTAAAAGTAAAGTTATAGATTTATATATACTCACTCTTTGATTTCAGTGCTAATCACTACAACTAAAATACATGGCCAACTACATGCTTATGTTGCCATCTATCACATATCTTTACAGTCTTAATGTACTATGGACCTATTTTTCAGTATGCTTTTGATACAATTTAACTTTAGTGTTCCCACTGCTAGTATTGTAAACTCACCTGACAGTGCAGACAGTATCATGAAACTACGTACAGGAAAGCATAATTTTCTTTTCATTGAGGACACTTGATTCTCAAGTCAACAATTTCATCAAAATTAAAAAGCTCTCCAAATGACAAAAACTGTCCTTTGATTAAAAACTCAGTTTAAGGTTTACTGGGTTCAAAACTCAGGGTAAAAGCCATACAGCTGGCCATTCCTAAATGGCAATGTTAAAAACTTTAAAAACTCCTTCCAGAATATGTGAGACTAATAAGTACATTTAGGTAAAGAATTATGTAAGATGAGGAAGTTTCTTTGAATTCTGGATACAGGGGTGAAACTTAAGCCCATTACTCTTTAATCTAATGAAAACATTCAAAGTTATCTTTTTAAAAGCTGTAAGCAAAACATAGAACTACTACTACTACTATATTATCAGTAGTTAATATACTACTGATATTAACTGGCTATACTAGCTTAGTATAAAAACAATCCATTCAGACTTAAATAAGACTAGGTAAAGTCAGGAAATTTAAATTTCACTATTTAAAAATATTAAAACAAAAACAATCAATAAACACAACAGAACCAGAAAAAAGTTCCTTTTCTAATCTACTGCTATAATTAAAAATAAATCTAAAATTTGGAAAACAAGCTACAGAGGCAACAATCACGACCCATGATTTTGTATAAAAGGGGTTTTTTTTGATGCTGTAAAATGTGAGCAAACTAACGGAGGGAATTAAGAAGCTGCCAGTGGGCACAATCCAACAGCCGTCCTTGGCATGTTTTGTTCAATATAGATCAAGCAGCATGAAGAACTGTACCCAACACTAAAATGTCTCATGATTTGTGCCCAACAATAAAACATTTTATGCTTTATTTCCAAATTAGTATGGACTCCATCCACCCTACCTCCTATCAGCTATGCCATTTTTGGCTTGCTGGGCCAATTCAGTTTTTTATTTCTTTCTTTTTTGACAACACACAAAAGCTGAAGCTCCACAACATCCTTAGTCAAAGAAAAGGACAAGCAAACAGAAAGCAGGGCAAAAGGAATGGTAGACAGCATCCAGAAATATAGCTGGTCTCTTTCTCTCTCTCTTTCTCTCCCAACTTTCCCATCCTCTCCCTGTCCATTGCCACCATGCTGAACAGTAGTTGCAACAGAAAAAAAATAAAAAATAAACCAGAATTCTTCAGAGTCAACGTGAAAGAGGTCAGCGATATAACAGCAGCGATTGGACAAAAAAAAAAAAAGAACAAAACATTGGATCAACAAAATCTGAAGTATTTTGTTCAGTAAAACATTATCCTCTCTGATCATAAGCCAAGATGCCTTTATGATACAGACTCGTTCTCAACAAAGGTACATGTCTTATCTCCTTAGATCCTTCAAAGATTTCAAATTCCATCACCCTGAGGCCCCTATAACCAGGTAAGAAAGCTTTCTTTATCTAACTTGGTGGCTGCCAGCACAGATTCCATGTCATTAAGGATATCGGAGCTCAAAGCTTCTTGTAGGCTTGGCATCAGTTCCTCTCCTTCTATATTCATTGCATCGCCTTCCAGTGTTCCAAGGTCCACATTAGTCCCCGGAATGGCTTCAAGGTAGTCTGGAAAACGGTTCTGATGGGAGGGGATGGAGCTTTGGTTGATAGTGTCACCTAGATGCACAATAAATGCAAAACACGGCATTAAGCACATATATTTAAACGGCTCTAAAACTGGTCACTTGAAGCCACACCCCACCCTATGGAGCATCAGCAACAACATCTTAATCATGGAGACCCCCTACTGGAGCAACTCCTTTGAAAAATAGAAGGCATCAACTGGGAGCAAGAACAACTGCCAACCCATAGAGATAACTTGCAACAACTGTTGCTCAAAGAAGAGAAAATCAAAGCCAGGTTTCTCTTCTGAAACTGCCAGGAGCCCACAATAAAAAGATCCACCTGCCTTAAAAGGAGGGGTATCAATTTAATATCTCTACTTCTTTTTTCCCCCATCCCTTTCTTTTAGCATATTGTTGTTTAGATTGCAAAATGGGAATTGTTTTATGACTGATCTTGTAGGACACTTTGGCAGTCTTTTAAAAATTAAGGTTAAAAATAAAAATAATAATTTTATAAGTAATATAAAAGGATTAAATAAACAACAATATAAGCTCCACGATTGCAGTCAGAATAATTTTCAATAATGTTTGTTATCAATGGGACAGGAAATATGGAACCTTAAAAACTGAAACCACAGGGACAGGCTGCAGAACTTGCAGCAGTAAATTAGGAAATGGTTCAGATTTGCAGCTCAAAAATATCCAGGCCATTTTGAACAAAAGACATCATCACGAACTTTCTAGATTCATATTTGAGCATGTCACAGAAGAAGATATACTATAAATCTGTTGTCAAAATCACTATGAATCCAAACCATTTTTTTACTCTTTACAAATGATAAGGTTCGGGTAGAACGCTGTGAGACACATAGTTGAATTCCTTGTTCTCTGAGGAAAGTCAAGCCAAATGTACCTTTCCTGACAATTCCACTAGCTCAGTAATATCTCTACTGCAGCCAACTCCTCTATCTTACTGCTAGTTAAACAAGACATAAGAGCATCAGTCAGACAGCAACTGGAAGGAAATGAGCCTCACCTGTATCCATTTCATCAACACTATTAAGGAAGTCATCTGGAGTTCTGGGAACACTGTAACTGCTCATGCTGAGGCCACTGTCTGTGCTCTCATCTCTGGAGTGGTATGTCCCACTGCAAGGGAAATGTTATGTTAATTTAAGTTACTGATGGAAAGAACAGACAGCATTTATCATCAAAGGGGCTCATTTTCGCAGTCAGGGTTGAATTATGTTCTCCTTGTAAGATTACGCATTAAAAAAAAGTCTGCGAAGGAGAATTCTTTAAACATTCAATTCTGAAGGTCTCAATTCCCACAATGCAGCATAGTTGAACACGTGGCATGTTCCCAGCACAATACATTTCGTCCACAACCTTGACTAATCTTTGCTGCCACCACATAACTTCTCAAGTGCTATGATGCTGCAATCTTCTAAAATGGTAACTACATCTGTGTGATTCTCAATAAAAATTAATAAATTCACAGGAGTTAATCATAACAGATCTCCACTAGGGCAACATTTTTTTAAAGAAAGTTGGCAATGCCTTCTAATTTGCTCATGTGTTCTTGAGAGTTCTAATCTAGATATGTTTCTAATTTGTATTTGCTGTCTGTAACCTAGTTCGAGTAAACCTAGTTCGAGTCTATACTGAAGCAGTATAGAATTTGCATAAATAAAACTGAAATTTAGTTTACACACTATTATGCTACCGACTGCCCCACTGCAAAAGTGTATAGGTAGTCCTCGGTTTACAGCAGTTCATTTAGCGATGGTTCAAAGTTACAACGGCACTGAAAAAGCTACTTATGACCTTGTTTCACACTTCCAACTGTTGCAGGATCCCCATGGTCATGTGATCAAAATTCAGATGCTTAGCAACCTGTTCAATATTTATAATGGTTGCAGTGTCCTGGGATCACATGATCCCCTTTTGTGACCTTCTGACAAGCAAAGTGTATGGGGAAGGCAGATTCGCTTAACAAGCAAGCTGAGATCTGGTGGCGCAGTGGTTAGAATGCAGTACTGCAGGCTACTTCTGCTGATTGCTGGCTGCCTGCAATTTGGCAGTTCGAATCTCACCAGGCTCAAAGTAGACTCAGCCTCCCATTCTTCCGAGGTCGGTAAAATGAGGATCCAGATTGTTGGGGGCAAAAGGCTGGCTCTATAAACTGCTTAGAGAGGGCTGTAAAAGCACTGTGAAGCAGTATGTAAGTCTAAGTGCTATTCCTTCTAAACAACTGCAAGAAAGGTTGTAAAACAAGGCAAAATTCACTTAACAAATGTCTTGCTTACAACAGAAATTTTGGGCTCATTTGTGGTTATGTCAAGAACTACCTGTATTAAAAATGCATTTGTGCCACAATGGCTGACAACTTATCTATGATATACACAGACATATAACCAAGGACTCCAGATATATTCAGAGTTTAGTTATGGTGATTACTATCCTTGAAGTTAGAATTTTGTAGGACTGCCACTGAGAAAATTCTGAAAATAATATTTATATGATAGTAGGGAGAGGAGGAAAGCCCTTGAGAAATGGCAAATTTCATTAAAAAGTAGTAATTTTCTTATGTTGATTGACTTATGTTTGAAAAATACACACAAGTCCTCAAATGAAACAATATCCAAGTAACTAACAATGACCAGCATTTCTTTTCAGTTGTTTGTGTGTATGGATGTCCCATTTTTAACCTTATCTATTCAATAATAAGGACTAGAAGTATTAAATACATGACCCTGTTAACTATTAACCAGAGGCTGCATAAATTAATACCAGAAAAAAATACCCTGCTTGCCTTGTAATATGATCTGCTGAATCCTATCACCATTTCCTGTGTGTCAGTGCTGTAAAGAATAAAATTAAAACCAGGAATACTGCAAGCTCCTTTAAGAAAGCCCCACAGCAAGTTCACTCCTAGCTTTTGAAAACATTTTCTGAGTCAGTAGTTTTAAATGGCTGTGCATCAATTGACTTGTGCTTGGGAGAACATGTTACGACTTTGAAGACAAATCTTTTCTACAAGTCTGAACAGTTGACTTTCAGAGATCTTAATCTTCAGCTTTTTTTGGGGGGGGGGGGGAGGGGGGGGGGAAATGCGAGAGTGAACTGGATTTGCCCTGTAAGAAAAGATCCTTTTTCAGCTGTGGTTCTTAGAACAGACCAAAGTCCCAAACAGAGGATTACAGAAACCAAACAGAATTTGAAAAATTGTTAGCTTTGGTGAAATGAAATCACTCATAGCTACTGCCACTAACCTGTTAAGAAAGGGATCTGAGCTATTTGTGGTCATTGTTCTGAGTTCTTGAGACATTCCGGGAGAGGATACTCGGTTCTGGGTGCCATCTTGTTCCATACTGGGAAGCTGACTACGGAGAGCCAATTCCTGCCAATTAAGAAATGACTGTATTCATAACTCACATTCAAAGTTCAATGCTCAGTTGCAACATTGGAGGAAGATACTATTTGTTTGGTGCTAAGCTATGTAATTTCAAAAGTTAGCACAAGTCTCTTACCAGTTATCAGTAATTGCTACGGTAGTCATGGCATGTTATATGTTACCTCCAACATCAGTCACATAGGTACGCCCCCAAATATCAGCTGTTGGGGAAATTAAGTGGGAAAGTACTAATTTAAAGTACTAATGTAAAGTACTCATCTCCTACTTCTACACTTCCCAAGAGGCATCTGCTTGGCAGATGTGAGAACAGAATGATGACCTAAGTAAGTCTTTGATCAGAGCCAGCAGAACTCATAGTCTTATTATTCCATCTCATCCATTTACTTCACTTTCTTATCATCTGGATGGCTTTTTTTGTACATATACACTCCTTTATCAATGTACAATGAAAAATAATTTGTGAAACAACTTAAATGGTGGAGCTGGAGAAAAATAAATAAATCAAGGCACCTGCAGGGAAAAGAACCTGAGACTTAAGAGGAGGGATAGGCAAAGATAACATGAACACTAATGACACAGGAGATACTTCAAGTTCTTATGAAGTTTAAAAGGGATTTGCTTTGCTAGTTTAAGAGATGGGAAGGGCCTTGAAAGTTTGCCAAAGTTCTGCCACCAGAAACATAGGAAGTTACCCGGTGGTGTCAGCAGCTTTAGAAATGGGGACATGAACCAACAGGTTTAATGGGGATTATGAGACGCCGTCCTTCAATGGCTCCTCAAATATTACTCACCTTCATTCTTAATAAATGTTAACATGGCTTTTAACTTACACAATACCAAGAAGGAGAAAGAAATTCATAACTGCCCACTATTTTCAACAAGGTCCTCATTAATGTTTTCAGAGTAAAAGACAACACTGGATAGAAACAACACATGTGCACCCTTCTGTTTTAAATGCAGCTGAATAAAAAAAACACTGTAATATTATTTCTTAATCATGAAATTAACATACAGTATATAATCCAATGCAAGGCTTTGGAACTTGATATTTCAATTCATAAATCGAAAGGACACTGAAAGGATTCAGATTTCAGTTAATGTTTGTATACGAAGTCTGGAAAAGATCTGCCTGGTAATTATTATTTCCTCATTACTTAAAAAAACCAAAACAAAGTCAAACATTTCTAATTGGCATTAAGAAAATTAAGATTTAACACATTTTTGTACATAATTTTTAACACTGGACTTTATAAACCAAGCTAAAACAATTCATCAAATCCATAGAGAAGCTAGTCAAGATGAATTTAGACTTTTGAATATTGTCCAACTGCACTTTAAATGCTATTTTTGAGAGTCAGAAATTCATTTTTTTTCTAATTTTGAAATATGTAATAACATTCTTTTAACATTTTCTGTCCTTGAAATGTGAAAATCTTGTATTTTATAGTGATGTTTTATAGGATCAAATCGATTTTTTTAAAAAAAAAAAAAAAATCAGTTATAAAGTATATGCTAGTAATGTATTACTTTCCATAAATGTAAAATGTGTCATGAGAGTTCAGATTCTGATACCATGGACAATAACGACATCATTGTACTGGCACAACATTATTTATTGGGGATGTATTTTCTGGAATATAAAAAAGTTGCAGATTAAAATCAAGTTCTATGTGAAAAAAAGGAGTACTGGCAAAAGAAAAATCTCCATAAATTAAAAGTAGCTTTAAAAAAAAAAGAGGCTAAGAACTAGTACAGGTAGTCCTCGATTTACAACCACAATTGAGCCCCAAAATTATGTTGTTAAGTGAGAAATTTGTTGAGTTTGATCCATTTTACAACTTCTCTCACCACATTTGTTAAGTGCATCACTGCGGTTCTTAAATTAGTAGCACAGTTGTTAAGTGAATCTGGTTTCCCCACTGATTTTGCTTGTCAAAAGGTCACAAAAGAGATCACATGACTCTGGACACTGCAACTGTCATAAATGTGAGTCAGTTGTCAAGCATCTGAATGTAAATCATGTGACCATGGGAATGCTACAATGGTCGTGTGAAAAACAGTTGTAAGTCACTTTTTTTCAGTGTTGTAACTTCGAACGATCACTAAATGAACTGTTGTAAGTCAAGGACTACCTGTAATAGTTTACCAGATAAGGAATCCAAATTAAAACTGAAATAATAATAATAATAATGGTGCAACACTTTTTCTCAGTACCTGAAGTCCCGGCTCTTCCCTCAGCCAGGATATGTGAGCTGCCAGAAAGTTTCAATGTTTTTTGTGAATTATTGTGCATTCTATTAATTTGTTGTCTTATTCTGGTTTTTTTTTTTTTTGGCATTGTTAGTTGCCCATAGTTGCTTAGTAAGTAGGTGTCTATGTCTATTGAATAAAACACACACACACACTAAAGTTCTAAACTACCATGGGTATGTTTCCATTTTTATAATTTTCACTTTTTTATTTCAAAGTAGATCTTAATATGAGCAATCAGAAGCAAGTGAGTATAAAGGACAGAGTCACCAAATACGAATGGAATCTTTCAAATGACTTTAAACAGAACTATGGCTCATAGTTTCCACAGGCTAAAGAATATTTAGATTCAAGCCAAAATAAATCTATTAGGCTATTGGCCCCTTTATTTTTAGAGGCTTTTCTAGACATTGACACCAATCTAGTCTTGGTGTTCCAGAGGCCTGAAAGTGACCAAACAGGTGTCGCATAGACACAGATGAATTTCAGGATCTGATTGCATATGAACATGGTAAAAATGATTAAGGGTGGAGTTGAGGAAAGCAACATGGATACAATGACAAAAACAGGCTTATGTAGTGGAATCAAAAGGATACACAGGACTGCAATCCTCAAATGGCTGTTCAATTCGTGCAGTTTTGAGGTATTGCTTTGACTCATTAATCTAAGTTATTTTTAATCAAAAGAACCTGTGATCTCACATAAATCTGCAGCCTTGACATTACTATTTCTACAAGTAAGCAATTCCCAGGATTAGAAAGAAGTTACCGTATTTTTCTCACTATAAGACGCACCTTGGTTTAGAGGAGGAAAACAAGAAAAACATAGGTTTTTTTTTTGCCTCCGCGTGTCCAGTTTTTACTTTCCCTGGAGTCCAGAAGCATTCTGCAGGCCAAAAGCGGGCCTGTTTTTGGCCTCCCATAGCCTCCGTGAGTTGTTTTTGCCCTCCCTGGTGTCCAGAAGCACTCTGCAGGTCAAAAACGCACCCATTTTTGGCCTCCCATAGCCTCCGTGTATCCCGTTTTCAGCCTCCCCGGCATCCAGAACCACTCTACAGGCCAAAAACGTGCCTGTTTTTTGAGGAGGGCAAAAACAGGACCTGCAATAGCCTCCGGAAGCCAAAAACAGGTGCGTTTTTGGCCTGCAGAGTGCTTCTAGACGCCGGGGAGGGCAAAAACGGGATGCAGAGAGGCTTTGGGAGATCAAAAATGGGCTCGTATTCACTATAAGATGCATAGAAATTTCCACCTATTTTGGGGGGGGGAGTGCATCTTCCATTCGGAAAAATACGGTAATTGCTGCCATATTGTCAGAACCAACTTTCTCTACAATGATTTCATTGCTGAACTTTTCACTAGATTATATGCTGAAGCAGTCACATTATTGCTTCTAACAGGCTAAAAAGAACACTTTCTCAATGTTATGAATAACCATAAAGGAATCTTGCCCTAAAATAGGAGTTTATGTAATCCATCTTCATATTTTGGACAGCAAAAAAAATAAGAACACAAAATAAAAATAATAATTTCAGATTAAGATTGTAGTCCTCTGAATCCAAGGCGACTAAGACACTGCTGGCTTCTACCAATTTAATATTACATATTTAAATAAATAGTCAAGAATCCTACTTTAAACTTTCAGAAGTTTATCCAGAATTAGAGATTATGAACAAAAATAACCAATGGTTCAAGCAGGAAAATATAACAATTAAGATTAGAGAGATTATTGTTCATTCTTTTGCTTAAAAGCCAGCACCATTTATGAGCAACAATTTGAAGGCTGTATTTAATTAGGTGGGGGGGAGGTAAAATATCCAAATCAAACTCCATTACTGGTGATTTGATGGTCCATGTAGTTTTCTTGGCAGCAACACAGAATGGCTTTGCCAGAGCCATTTTATGATATAATCTCAGTTCCAGAGTCTTACCTATAATCCTGCAGTTTCTTGATCCTATGTCCAATTACTAAGTAAATGTAATTCAGTTAGCTTTTTGAAATCAGACAAGATCAGGCATATGCTATCTCCTAATCACATTACAGTATTTCCTGAGTCCAACATTTATCCTACTCACATTGATTTTGAGGTAACATGAGACATCAATAATATCTACCCCGGGACTTACATTTCACCATCTGTAGATGTTTAATTGGACCAATCATCTTGCATGAAGCTACAACAGGAGTTTTTTTTCATACCTTCTTGTTTACTTTTTAAAATCTGTTTAAATCAGGATTCTGTATGGCCTGCTGTAATACTTCTATAACCAACTCTTCCGTATTCAGTTACAATGCTTAGTATTCAAGCAATCCCTCCCATTAGTCCTCCCACAGTCAATACATAGCACTGCAATGTGGAATTAGTAGTATGTGCTTTTGAGGTCTGGCAAAACATTGAGCCACACTGGAGAAGATGGAACATCACAGACTTATGATCATACGCACTTTTATTAAAAACATTAATACACATTTTGCCAGGAAATTCAACACAGATGAGCTCAGTCTGACACCGAAATCTTGAGAGCACACAGCCTCACTGTTCACAACAGCATAGAGTTGTGAACGTGATGAATTTAACAAGCAGGGGTTTAGATCTTTGGTGCATGAAATAATTCTAGTACTATGTGGTTTTAACTACATATAAATTGAGCTTAATTTGTTGGTCTCAGAAGGAGAACAGTGCAAATTAGCACTGTTTTCCCCAAATGGTATTTAAAAATAAATCCAACAACATTGCAAAGACGTCCAACCAGTTACTT